GGCTCGGCTGCCCTGCCCCCCCGGACGGGGCCAGCCGCTGGCCAGGGAGCCCTCAGCAGCGCCGCTCCGCTCGGGCCCTGCCGGCCCTGGCAGCGGCTGGTGCGGTGCTCCTTGCCCCGCGTCCCGGCCAGCGAGGGAGGCGCGCCCGCCGCTCGCCAGCCGGCTCGGACACACGGCGGGACTCCCTGCGGCAAGGGCAGAGCGGCGGCTGTGCCCGCCCCGAGCCTCGCTGACATCCTCTGCCAAGTGTTGGTGGGGGAATGAGAGGCATCTCATATGGCCCCAGAAAAGGAAGCCACCGAAGCCGTGCATTTCTGAAGTGGCGGGTGGGTTGATGCTGAAGTGTACATTGCTCTCTCAGGTTATTTCTGTTGAGAGCTTGCAGCTACAAATAGGTAGTTCGTGTCCCTCTTGAATAGTATTTCTAGACTATCTGAGGATGCAGGTAGGTGCATGGTCTCAGTGGTTGTCAACTTAAGGCTGTGAGAACCATGCAAAAGCCTACTGCTAGCACTTGCTAAAATTAAACAAAAAAGGCTTCAGCATGTGAGAGGCAAATTTCTGGAGTCTGATCAGGGCCTTTTGGGAAGGTAGGCTGGGGCAGGGAAGGGTCATCGTGTTTTGTGTGGATCAACAAGTCGTCTTCTCACTCCCTACATACCCACAAGTGATGGTGCTGCTACCAGGGAGGACAAGGCAACTACTGAACAAGAAAGTATCAGGAGCTAGGAGGACAAAGGTTGGAGGGACGGACTGGCACACAGAAACGCCATGACTGTGTGCAGCTCTCAAACAATGGCAGCTGCGGCTGTGTCCACACAGCTCCAGGCCCTGCTCGTTAGCCGTGGCAAGTTTTCAAAGCCCTGCATGAAAACTCAAACTCAGGCAGCCAACCCAATTCTCACTGTCTGAGCTGAGCTGGGTTTAGAGTGGTGAAGGACTCTAGTCTGTTATCAGTATTTTGAAGTGCCCAGTACTGCAAATTTAGGAGAGGATCTTTAAAGCTGCCAGTTACCTCCCTAGTGAATCAACTCTCAGAAGGTGGAATTCCTCCTGCTGTGAGCAGCAGCCATTAGCTAGATGGCAGCATTAGGCATTAAGAGCCTGAGTTCTTCTGCCTCTGGATCTGTACAAGGGGAATGAGAGGAGCGCTGAAGGAGAGTCATGCTAACAAACACTCTGGCTTTCTTCACACTTTGGGTGCAAAGAGTAGCAGCCATACAGAAATAGGTGGGCTATTTTTATGGGTGGCTTGCGTTCTTAACATTAACTAACAATAGTAGGCAAAACCTTTGAAATGCAGAAAGGTAGGGAAAAACATAAATGTCAACCTATTGAACATCTCTGGTCACATCTTCTCAGTGCAGTAATTGCTAAAGCCAGTTTTTGTGGGACCACCATCATCAATCACATGCCAGTGCTTGTGTCTCCATGGCAAGTAGTGCTAGTCCTATAGTAGATAAGGGGTAGTTCCATAAAAAATATGGTTACTTTAAATTACTTTTTCACTAAGAGGAATACAATTTCCACCCAGATTTGTGGATGCCTTTTGCAAAAACTTGTTCTCATTCTAATAGCAAATAAAGTAACACTACAAAAATCTTGCCACTAAAGATATGCAAAGCACAAATTGAGCTATGAATCCTATGAAACTTTAAAGCAGTCGCGTCCCAAACAATTTTAAATGTAATGGCTCAGTCCAGAAGTGTCATCTCTGAACTACAGCTGCATTAAGGCCAAGATGATCATGTTGTCATACATAAGATTACATGACTTTTCTTTTTAGAAAATATTGTGGTTGCTCCACTAGCTGCCTGAACCCTTATGGAGAGGAGATGTCTTTCTTACTTTCTTTCACACTTTATATTAGAATCAGAATTGTTAAGATGGACAGGAGCTTTCTGAGCTCATCTAGTCCAACCGGTGGAGCAGGGTCACCTCGAGCAGATTGCCCAGGGCAAAGTCTGCAAGGATGGAGACTCCACAATCTCCCTGGGTAATTCATCCCCATGTTTGACCACTCTCACAGTAAAAATAAACTTTGTTCTTTGCCTAAACAGAATTAATTTCCTATACTTCATTTTGTGCCCGTTACTTCTTATCCTTCCCAGGGTATCACTGAGAAGTGTCTGGCTCTGTGTTCTTTACTTCCCTCCATCAGGTATTTATAAATTTATAAGATTTCCCTGAGCCTCCTCTTTTCCCGGTTGAACTATCCCCTCTTTCTCAGCCTCTCCACATAGCTCACATGCTCCAAATCATTAATCACCTTCCTGACCTTTTTCCTGCTTCAGCATATCCACATTCCTCTTGTACCGTGGAGCCCAGCATTCTGGATGTGGCCTCTCCAGTTCTGAGGAGAGGAGAAGGATCATACCCTTGATGTCCTGGTAGCACTCATTCTAATGCAGCCCAGGATGCTGTTGCTCTTCATTGCTGCAAGGGTGCTTTGCTGGCTCATGTTCAGCGTGGTGTCCACCAAAACTTAAATCTTTCTGAAAAGCTGCTTTCAGAAGCCAGTCCCCAGCCTGCACTGATGCATGGAGGTTTCCATCCTTTAGGTGCAGGACTTCCTAATTCCCTTTGCTGAGCTTCTTGAGATCTCTGTTTGCCATTTTCTCCAGCCTCTTGAGCCACACAACCTGAACAGTCACACAATCATGTGGTGTGATTTGGGACTTGGGAGGATACTCCTCCCAAGATCATGGTGTCTGCAAATTGTCAGAGGGTGTGCTCTGTCCCATGGTCCAGATCATTAATGGAGATGCTAAATGGCATTGATCACAGTATCAATCCCTGGGTGCAGCATTCCTGATGGGCTTCAGGTGATCTTTGCGTCAGTGATCACAAACCTTTAGGCCAGGCAGCTCCATGTTCCCACCTAGCCAGCCTGCACTTCATCAGTTTGTCTAGAGAGCGCTGTGGCAGAGAGGCAGTGTTGGAAGCCTGGTTGAACTCAAGATAAACAACATCCGCTGCTCCCTGCTCATCCACCAAGTGAGCTGCTCAGTCATGGAAGCCTATCAAGTTGCTTAAGCATAATTTCTCCCCTATAGACCCATGCTGGCTATCCCATCAGTTTTCTGCTTTGAATATGTTTGGAAACAGTTTCCAGAGTTATTTGCTCATAATTTTCCCAGGAATCAAAGTGAGGCTGACTGGTTTGTAGTTCTTTTATTCTTTACTCTTTTCTTATAGTCTTTACTGAGGATAGGAGTGCTGCTTTTTTCCACTACTTGAAACATCCATGTCTTCCCTAGAGCTGCATGCAAAGGACCTCTAGCAAGTCAGCAAAAGTCTCATGCATTACTTTCAGGCCTCATCTTTTTTCCCGATATCTCCTTATTTGAGGAAAAAAGATGAAATTTAGAAACAATTTAGATTTTGTTTTCCATCAGACCAGGCTCAAAGTAGAATGTTCTCAGCTTGGAATTGGGTACATTGGTAAAATGAATTGACTGTATCTATCAGCATATCTAACAGTTTAGGATGAACACCCTTACCTTCTGCAGCTCCTTGTATCACAACCCTTTATTTGATCTTGTGTATTTCCATTCTGTAAAGCTACTCTTGTCTAACATTATTTGCATTTTTGCTTCTGATCTCTTGTTGATTCTTGGTGCTACTTTTCATCTGGTACATTTACATGTAGAGTACGTTTTTCAAATGTATATTTTAGATGTTTCTGCAGAGCACAAAAGCTACCTTTCTGGACCCCTTTTTGTACTTCACTGATAATGCTACCATCAAACAACAGTGGTATCAGTCTTATAGGAATCAGTCAGAACTTGTCCCTGAATTCCTCAGATGCTTGTGTTCAAATGCTCAGCCAGTAAAGTGCACAAATGTCAATGTATAGTATTTATATTCAAATATTTATAGGCTTAAAAAAATCCAACTACAACAATAAAAAGTCAATCATTAGTTCCCATTAAGAAAATTTAACTAAAACTATTTTATTTATATTTATTCTTCAATTTCCCCAAACTCAGAACAAATTTATATACAATTTCACTAATTCAACTACATTTTTTTCTGTCTAGATATTATATTCTTCCTTAGTTTGTAGAATATATTAGTCTAAACAAAATGGTGTTAAGAACTGGATTGTTCTTTTTTATATGGCAATGAAATGAGGATATTGCTATTAAGTTTTGCTATTTAAGGGATACAAGAAACAATAAAATAGCTGGTGGTGAAAAAAATCAATTTTGAACTGATTTAAGATTTTTTTCCCCAAGATATAAAAATTACAGCTATGTTTTCAAATCCTTCATTTGAGAAAATACGTGGCTAAAATGAAAGCATATAAGAACATATTTGTGCTCGGTAAAGATTTCCTAGTAGAGAATCAGTGCCTTGTAATTCACCTGTAAATGTCTTTTGGTCATAAAATTCATTATTATTTTGAGACTCAGTAATGAGTTTTGTCTTCATGAATAACACTGTCATTTTAGACCCTTGTACTATTTTTCTCTAATGTTTTGGACTACCAAACCATGTGATTAAGCGTGAATCTCAGTTTATGTTATTTGTAAGCAGGTCATAGCCAAAGCCAGACATGACAGTGATGTTTCT